AATTTTTCCTAGATCTTACACCAAAGATCAAATCAAACCCAAACTACAAACACCAAAACCAGAATTAACCAAAAATCAGCTGCAATTCCACCACCGACAGCTGCTCCGTATCACCAAAACCGAAAATCCTCTTCGTTTTTCCCCAATTCAGGAACTTAAACACACTGAAAAAACTCCACTACCAGCTCACTCATCCACTTCTAAAGAACCCACCAAGATTCCTCACACTACTGCTACACAAAAAACAACAAAAAATACCAAAAAATTCGAAAGAAGCTGAACAGAAATTCAAATTATGAGCAAACCCTTAATGGGTTTCGAAGATCTAATGGTAATTGACAGAAGAGACAGAGAAAAGACGGAAGAACAGATACGAGAAGGAAGACAGGAGAAAGAAGAAGAGAATTTGAGAAATAGAGGGGTCCTTTTATAAAGGATGAAAAGTTTGTGGATCGAAAAAGATTAAAAAAAAATAAACTTTATCCGTTCACTGTAATTGGTACGGTCCTTTTATACGGCTAGGGGCATATGTTTAATTTAATAAACTTCATGGGCTTATCTTTCAATACTTCAAAAGATAAGGTGGTGAATTTGAGTTTTTATATTAATCGATTTAACTTATTAGGATTAATTTATTTAATAAAGTGAAAAATATAAATTAATTAGATAGTTTATTGTTGTTGAGTTGCTTTGTGCTTTGCTAAAAATAGTATATACAAATAACAATAAATTTTTAGATATAACTATTAAAATTACACACGTAATGATTTATTCATTGTTCACTTTTTAAAGTATTGATATCATTTTTTAAATTTTTTACTACAACATTGATCTTAGTAGACTTGTTTTTATGTAAAATATATTTACACAATGTAAATCAATTTAATATGATGTTATGAAAAATATATATCCTATTATTTAAAGCATATAACTTAAATTTTTGTAAATATACATAGAATATTTGATGCTCAAATTATTTGTTACATGATAGTGATTAAATTGAAAGTATAATGTGAACGATACATAAATAAATATATAAATCATACACATGCAAACATTTCACATAATAATATACAAATACAAGTCTTTTTAAATTATTTTTACTAATTCATGAAGCATGCCTCAAAGATCATGGTAATTATACACTTAAAATAATTATTATAATACTAATAAAGTGAATGCAACATCTCCTAAAGGTTAAAAAATAAATCAATTTGTGTTTGGATGTTTCCATAATGTCTTTTGTGCAACACTAGTGTTGCCTTTATTATTACTAAATATTATTTTAATGATTAATCAATTGTTTATTAACTATTCAATTCATTTCTAAAAATAAATCATAAACTTAGTCACTACCTGCTAAATATTACTTTGGGATATCATTCAACCACCATTCATAATTTTGATGACAGAAAGCTCAACTAACACCACATAATGTTACCATATATTTTATATTTGTTTACACCTAATCATAAAATATATAATACATATTTGCACATATATTTTACTCACTTAATCATAATTAATATGCATTTTCATCAACAATCCAACCACATGCCCACAAAAATTAATTTAAATAAGAAAAGTTGGTAGAAATTCTGTAGAAGTTTTATTTATAGTTATTGTTCCTTATAAAAATATGTGATAGGGATAAATTAAAAAAAAATCTTAATTAGAAATCTCGATTTTCAATTCTAACAATACAAAACCTCTTATTAGGAGCGCTTCTACTTTAATGAGTTATAATCAACATAATTAGAAATCTTAATTTTCAGTTATGAAAATAAAATAATTCTAATAATGATCGGTTCTTCTATAATAAATCATATCGTGTATGTAATATGAACCTAAATTAATCTAAGTCAATTTTTTTTAATATTATATAAATATACCCCCCCCCCCCCCCCCATAATTGAATCTAGTAGATTCTGTTTAAGTTGCTCTCTCACACTCACCATCAACTTTAAAAACTTAAAAATAAACTTTCTTATGTGATTAAATATGCGTGGCAAATAAAATATTATAAAGAAAAGTTGAAGGGTTAATATCACGTGGCACTTAGATGTGACGTTGCGTTCCTTAGTTGCCAAATTAACACATAGGTTTTTGTTTAATCGCGAAATCGTCTTTGTTATGTTAGGGAGTGTTTTATCCTTCAATTTAAAATTTTTCAATGTAAATTTGAATTTAGTCGAATTGTAACATAAATATTGAACACCAAATGAGAAATCAAAAAATAAAACACATAAGTTTTTTTGGGGTAGGGGTGGGGGGGGGGATAAGTAGAGGGGGTTGGTGTATACACAGTATAAAAATGGATGAATTATTGGTGGGGGCAATTAAAAGAATTGTCTAAAGTTGATGAACACAAGATTGGGAGCTGAGGTAATGAAGGGACTAGGGAGACACACCATGTGTAAATTACAAATTGCAAGCAAAAAAAAAGCAATTTGTTCCATCATATATTTTATTTTTTGATCGTTTGGATCTGTTTGTGCATTTATCAACTATATTTTTATTAAATATTTATGAAATTTAAATCGATTATGTTGATTGTTGAACTTGATTTTATTTGGACGATTCGATCTTTCAACCAATTCAACAAGGACATTCATATATGAAAAGAAATATGAAAAGCCGAGTTAAGTTTGTGTCCTCTATTTTAATTAATACTATTATCTTTCGCCAAACACACAAGTATTATGTAATTTCTTCTTAGTAAATCTTAAACAATGAAAAATATCACCTAATGTGTTGTGTTTGGATTAATAACATTTTTAATCTTCAAGTTATTGTTAAATTCTAATTTTAATTTCTATGAAATTTGATTAAGCAATTTTGAAGCTTCATTTAATTGGATTGTACATTTTTTTATCCCCTTTATGACAATTCATTAGGGGAAAACTACTTAATAGGTAAGATATGAATTTGACTAAACACAATAATTTTGATCCAACTTTTATATATATATATTATATATATAACCGAATTCATTAACTTCAACTCTTTTGATTCAACATCTTATTTTTGTTCATAATTATATATACTCCCTTTGTCCCGTGACATTTGAGAGTCAAACAATTTAATTTTGACAAGAAATTTGCGCGTAAAATCTTTAATTTTTTTGAAATAAAATTTATATATTTGTAAATTACGTAAAAAATATTACAAGTCACAATAGTTGATAATTCAAAATAAGTAAAAGATATATAAAAAATATACGGTAAAAATAGATAGACTTATTTGAATTTCAAAATTTAAAAAGTGTCACATAAATTAAAACGGCTAGAGTATTTATTTATTAGTTGGCCACAAGTCACAACTTGCAACTTTTGTACAAACACCACAAAAAAACAACACATGATTTCATTTTTTATTTTTTATGTTTTTTTCTTTTCTTGTTGAGTCAATGGTGGGGGAATCTAAAATAAAATTATATTCCTGCACTGCATGTACTTGAATGCTTCCATTACAACTTTTCAGTTTCTTTGCTAAAATGTGGTCCATTCATTTTTAATTTATTAAGATCATTATTATTAAATTATTGGTAAAGTTTAGCTTTTCTGAGTTATCACTTATCACTATGAATTGTGGCCCCTCTTCCCTAATGAATGGGGTATTACGTCATTCCTTGGCATATTCTTTGAAGCTTCCGCTCTGTTGAATGTGTGAACAAAGTCATGTATTAAAAGTTGATAAGAATATTTTATAAAATAATATTTTTAATAATATGAGATCTTTTAAAAAAAAGTAATGTTAATATAATTTGGCGGTTATTAGTATATATGTATTAATAGTTTACTAAGACGAGTATGAAAATTGCGAAGTGAATTGATTAGAGCATGACAAGATTTTTTCATACCCAGAGCTCGAACTCGAGACCTCTGATTAAGGGTGAATCACTCTCACCAGTACACCACAACCCATGTTGATGAGCACGGGGTTAAGCTCAAGCCTCATTTAGTTACACTTCAATAGAGATTTGAACCTCTAACTATTAAATGAATTTATTTTATTAAGATTTGATCACTTTTAATGAGTTGAGTAAGTTTGAATTATTTAGCTTTTGAATAAAGTTTTAATATCATTAAAAGAAAACTTGTAAAGATGGTTCTTTTTATTGTTCTGTCCGTATTTAACTGGCAATCATTGTACAATCACTATTCTCAGTCGTGGCTCTGAGCCACATCGCTGAACAAGCACCATAACAAAATTATTGTGAAATCATCTTTATCATCACAATTACCACTCAATCGTTGCTCACTAGCCAATCATTACAATCAATTACCAGTAGCCATCATCGAACAAGAATCATAACCACCATCACGATCATTAATTACCACCATCGCTAGTCACTACCACACCAACCGCCTTCATTATCACAATATCATTATTGACGACCACTACCATCATCGGTCAACTACGACCAACCATCACAATTACCAATTACTATCAACAACTATACCTCTCCCAATTTCCATCATCACCAATCACTATCACCAATCAACACCACTAACAGTCGCTCATTACAACCATTACTACTATCATTATCATCATTTGTCAATCACATTATCACCACCATCAACTGCTATCATCAAAATCACCATCATCATCACAACCGCCACCACGACCCACCATCAACTCCCCACCCCTCCCCCCACCACTCCTACCATACAAACAATCACTCCCAAATATAACCATCCAAACGGTTACTAAAATCACCTATTCCTTCATTATTAGAATATAAAAAGACAATTTGCACAATAAAATAGCACTAACTTTTCTTTAATAAATTACAAATAACACACCACTACAAGTTTGCAATAAAGTCAAGAATATAAACCACCACAAAAATCCTCCTAATGGACTTGTCTTTTGTCCATTTTACCCCCACTTAAGTTGTAACGGCTCTTAAATACAATAAATATAACCGTTATTAATCTACCTTTTTCACTCCTTTAAATTTGCACCTTTTGTTCTCAATGAATAAAAACCTCAACAATCACTCAATTATTACCTATGGCTAAAGCAACTCTCATCCTTTTCCTACTTTTGTCCCACATTTCAGGTTTGTACACTTTCTCCGAACTCCGATTCGTGAGATTATACTGAACGTGATATTGTTATACGTGTACTTTGCTTATTTCTCATTCATATTTGTACATAATTGTTTATTTCTTTCATTTCATTTAAGGATTTATTTATGTTCGTAATTTGTTGATATTGTAATAATTGTTTTTTATTGAATCTTTTCCACATAAAAGAATATTTTTGAATCTCCTTAGATAAAATTCTACATGTGGCATGCATTTGCATGAATGGAATTAGGGGGGACGCAAGAGGTTTATCTGACTGCCTTATGTTGAAAATGTTACAAAATATATATAGTAAATATTGAATATTTTACAAAATATATATAATAAATGTTGAATCTTCTCAAATAAATTTGAGGATATGCTCTTTACTCTCCTCTTGTTTAATGGTTGCTAAAAATGATACTTAAGGTTGTTTCATTCTTATTTTTATTTTTTGTAGTGGGGACATTGGTGTTAGCAAATGAACAGGTAACTTCAACAACTCAAAATCATATATTCCTTTTTTTATTTGTTAGGACCCAAAATTTAAGAATAAAATAAGAGTTTTGAAATTTGTAGTTTGTCGGATTATAAATAAGAAATTTAAAATTAAATTACTATTACATATAGAAAAAAAAATCATTCTTTTCTGGACAAACTAAAAACAAAGAATTGATGCATAAATACTACTCTATAATTGATGGAAACAAAGGATCTGGTCTTTCACTACCAATTCCTTTCATTTTCTATTAGGGATGAAGGGCTCAACCCTACTGGACGTAACTCTTTTAATCGATCTTGAACTTAAATTGGATAGATAGAAGTCTTTCTTACCCATCCGAACAACTCTTTCAAAACCTCTCAACAATAATTGACCATTCATGTTTTCATTACAAGTTAATTAATAGTGAAAGGAATACTAATGTTTTTTACATTTTTTTTATTTTTATTTTTTTGTAGAAAACTTGGTGTGTGGCTAAACCTTCATCAGAATCAAAAACATTAGAAGAAAATATAAATTATGCATGTTCTCAAGTGGATTGTAGAATATTGCAAAAGGGTTGCACTTGTTTTTCACCAGATAATCTCATGAACCATGCTTCTATTGCCATGAATCTTTATTATCAATCTAAAGGAAGAAATCAATGGAATTGTCACTTTGGTAATTCTGCCTTAATTGTCTTGACAGATCCAAGTAAGTACTCTCCTTATCAAATTTTTAATTTACGTAACACAATTTAACCTAACGTAGTTTGACTCGATCATACTTATAACATGTTTGATCAAGTTTCTGAACAACTAAAAGTGTTTGTTTTAGTCAAGCTTTTGAAGAAATAAGTAGTAGTGGAAACAATTTTTCAAAGCTAAAAAAAATATAGTTTTTCTCATAAAGTTCTTGGGAACTTTGGCTTACAAATTGATGCACCAATATTGACTAATGTGTTTTTCAAATTGATTAGTCAGATACAGATCGTTAGTGGTCAAAAACTCTTTTTCTGAAAAGCACTTGTGACAAAAAACTATTTTCAAAGGAATAGTAGATTATTAAAACCTAAACATGCTATAACATTAAAGTAGTTATAAGATTTTTGAAACTTTTGATTTTAAATATATGTCGTAATATTTGTGCAACGATAAAAACTTTTTATTAATATGAAATCTTGATAATGGCAGGTTATGGCAGCTGTATCTATGAGTGAAGACATGATTAGGATAAACACGATTAGGATAAGCAGCTAAATTAAGAGGTCCATTGTTATTTATTTTATAAAATGTGGTCATGTAGCCCCCTTATAATATCAATAAAAGATATTGTATGCTTCTCATTAAATGCTTGGTATCCTGCATCTTACATAGACTTTTTTAAATTGTTAATCTAAAAAGAATTAATTTCGCAGATGATTCAAATTTTAAATTTATTGAAATAGAGGAGAAAATTTGTAGCAGAAAAAATAATGTAATGTAAAAAATCTTATATGTCACGTAAAATTTAGAAAATAAACATAAAAAAGATGTTAAATTTGGTCCAGGTAACACAAGTATTGTTCCTTCAACTCCCTACGGAAGATTCCGTAAAAATTTTACAAAAAAAATAACTGGAAATTATATCACCAAAATATTGGCCGCTAATTAGCCTGAAATTGCCTAAAAAAATGGTGAGACTATACAAACTGCTCCCCAAACTCCCTTTTCGTAAAGGTTTCGCAAAAAAGTTGATCGGAAGTCATATCACCAAAATATTCATGAGATCTAAATGCCCAAAAAATGGTGAGACTATGGGTGTGTTTGGTATGAAGGAAAATGTTTTCATGGAAAACAAGTAGATTTTTGACTTATTTTCTCATGTTTAGTTGGTGAGTAGAAAATATTTTTCGGAAATGATTTTTAGTGTTTAATTTATGAATGAAAAATGTTTTTGAGAAATATCTTTTATTTTTACTAGAGTAGAAAATAATTTTTGAAATTGAAAATATTTTTTAAAAACAAACTTAAATTTTTTTTTTTTTTTTGGGGGGGGGGGGGGGAGAGGGTCGAGGGTAAGGGTGAAAAAATAAAAATTTGAACTTGAAAATATTTTTTAAAAACAAACTTAATTTTTTTTTTTGGAGGGGGGGTGGTTGGGGTTTGGTGGGGGGGGAGGGGGTCGAGGGTAGGGGTGAAAAAATGAAATTTTAAAGTTGAAAATATTTTTTAAGAACAAACTTAAAAAAAATAATTTGGGGGGTGGGGGGCTTGGTAGGGGGTGGGTGGGGGCCGGGTTTTTGGGGGGGCTGGTAGGGGGTGAGGTGGTCGAGGGTAGGGGTGAAAAAAATGAAATTTTGAAGTTGGAAATATTTTTTAAAAACAAACTTAAATTTTTGTTTTGGAGGGTGGAGGGGGGTGGTATGGGGTGGGTTGGAGGGTCAAGGGTAGGGGTGAAAAAATAAAATTTTGAAGTCGAAAATATTTTTTTAAAATAAACTTAATTTTTTTTTTTGGAGGGGGGGGGGGGGGGGTTAGGGGTGAAAAAATAGAAAATATTGTTTAAACAAAGTTAAAAAAATATTGGGGGTGGGGTGGGGGTGGGGGGGTTGACGGGGATGGGTCGAGGATAGGGGTGAAAAAATAAAAAATTGAAGTTGAAAATATTTTTTAAAAACAATTTTTTTTTTTAAGGGGCTGATAGGGGGTTGATGGGGGGCGAGTGTAGGGGGTGAAGGGTAGAAAAATAAAAAATTGAAATTAGAAATATATTTTAAAAATAACTTTTAATATTTTTTTTCGGAGGGGGGTGGTGGTAGGGGGCTGGGGTAGGGGTGAGGGTGGGGTAAAAAAATTGAATTTAAAAACATTTTTTAAAAACAAGCTTTAAAATTTATTTTATTTTTGGGGGTGGGGGTGGGAGCGGGGAGGGGGGGCTAGTTTGAGGGAATTGGTTTTTTCAACTAAAAAAATGTTGGAAAAGAGTTTTGGAAAATGTTTTCCTTAAGTTTTGAAGGGAAGTCATTTTCGTTAAATTTGAGGAAAATGTATTGATTTGGAAAACATTTTCCAAAACATATATATATTACTGACACTGAGAAAATCGCCTAATTCCTTCAAATAACCTCAAAAAATTATGAGACATTACATATTGCTCTCCAACTCCCTACGGAGGATTCCGTAACGGTTTTGCAAAAAAGACAATGGGAAGTCAATATCATTCATGCTAACACACGAAAAATAGATAAAACCACCCAATTTTCATAAATTGGCTGGCCCCTAAACGCCAAAAATTGGCGTGATTACGTATTGCTCCCTACAAAGGGTTACGTAAAGGTTTCGCAAAAAGATCGACTTTCAACAAAAATAGGACCCTCCGTAATGACCTGGAGGAACAATACTATAGTTTCACCATGATCTATGCCACTTTTTTTTTAGCATTTATGGGTCATGTTGGAGGAATTAGGTGATAGTGCTAGTTTTTTGCGTGTGTTAGTACATAAATTTTTTCATACTACGAGATTTTGGAAACTTTTTTTGGTTAAAACTTTACATGATCCTACGTAATGACCTGGGGAATAATATCTTTAGACTCACCATAATCGACACCAATTTTTTAGCAATTAGTGGCCACTCAGTAGAAATTAGGCGATTTTTTTTGTTTTACGTGTGTGTAAAATTTTTCGGAATGTGTTTTTGACTATGTTTGAGATGAAATGTTGTTGGTCAATTGGTGATGACCTATTAAGTGACACTCATTTTTTTTAATAGGCAGACATGGCTATTTTTTGAGTTTATGTGTCATGAAATAAGAATTTAGAATTATCTTGATTTTTCGGTGTATTAGTCCATAAATTTTTCAAAATATATGGGATCAAGTTTGATTTCAAATTTTATGGGTTCATTGGTGACAACCTATTCAATAATACTCATTATTTTCGAAACGTGAACGCCGTTTTTTTGGTAATTTATATGTTACGGAATATGAGTTTGGGATTATCTCAAATTTTCATTTGTATTAGTTCATGAATTTTTCAAAATATGCATGTTTGTCTCTATTTGAGCTCAAATTTTATGAGTTCATTGGTGACAAACTATTAAACGGTACCCCATTATTTTTAGAATAACATCAAATTAAAATCATGTGTATCAATAAAATTTTCAGATTTTGAGTGACCAACTCTATTAGAGCTCAAATTTTGTGGATCTATTGGCAGTACTAATTTTTTTTCAAAATGTGAACATCACTCTTTGTAGTTTATACAACACGAAACATAAATTTAGAATTATTTCAAGTTTTAATGTGTATTAATCTATGAACTTTTCATAATACGTATGCATTCTGTTTGACCTCAATTTTTATGAATTCATCTATTAAACGATATTATTATTTTCAAAATGTAGCCTCTTACTTTTTTTTTGGAATTTATATGTCACGAAACAAGACTTCTATTTTCAACGCGATCGACTATGTTTAAACTCAAATTTTTTGGGGTTGTATTTTAGTGTGCGCTCTGTGCTGTGTACATACATTTCTTTCCCTACAGAGTGTCATCAACTCATATAGAACAATGTTTTCATGTCGATACAGAGCCATAAATCACAAATTATATTTTCCATTTTCTCTCCCAAGATCAAATCTTGGAACCCCATCATCTCCATTTTCATCATCTCAAATCCAAAATTCAGATTGGTTAAGCTCAAATGAAGTAATCAAGATTTTCCAAAATCTCAAAAACCCAAATTCAGCTCTAACTCTACTCAATCAAATCTCAAATCGAAAAGATTACAGACCCAATGAAGCCATTTATAGTGTAGTTGTCAAGAACTTAGCAATTGCTAAGAATTTTGATGCAATTGAATCCCTTATGGAGAAAATCAAAATCCAAAGGAAATGTAGACTTTCTGATGAGTTTTTCTATAATGTTATTAAGATTTATGGGCATTTAGCTGGTAGAATTAACAGAGCAATTGATACCTTTTTCGATATGCCTAATTATAAGTGTTTTCCCACTGTGAAAACTTTCAATTTTTTACTGAATTTGCTTGTGAATACTAAGCAATTTGATGTTATTCATAAGGTTTACTTTCGCGGTTCCGAGTTGGGTGTTGAGATTGATGCTTGTTGTTTGAATATAATCATTAAAGGACTTTGTCGTTGTGGAGAGATAGCTGCTGCATATAAGGTGTTTGATGAATTTCCTAAACAGAATTGTTCACCCAATGTTAGAACTTTTTCTACCATAATGCATGCATTATGTGATCATGGTCGCGTTGATGAGGCATTGAGTTTGTTAGAGAGGATGGGGAATGAGGATGTTGAACCAGATGCCATCGTGTTTAACACGTTGATATCAGGGCTTAGGAAGCAAAGGCGAGTTGACGAGGGGATTGATATGTTCAAGAAAGTAATGCTGAAAGGTTGTGATCCGAATCCAGGGACTTATCAGGAGGTGTTGTATGCTTTGCTTGATGTTAAGAGGTATTTGGAGGCGAAAGATTTCATGGCTGTAATGATCGATAAGAGAGTGAATCCAAGTTTCGAGTCTTATAAGGTGATAGTACATGGCCTTTGTGATGGTAAGCTTGTTGGAGATTTAGACTGGGTATTGAAGCAAATGGTGAGACATGGATTCGTTCCGAGGATGGGTATGTGGAAGAAGATTCTTGGTTGCTTGTTTCCTGATGGAGGTTGTTGTACTACCTATTCTTACGATGAGATTCTTGCAGACTAAGATCTCATTTGTTTTCATTAAGATTAAGACGTATGAATCTAAATGTACATCTGAATATTAAGATGTTGCTATCATAGCTTTAGCTCTCATGATAGACTGGGTATTGAAGCAAATGGTGAGATATGGATTCGTCCTAAGGATGAGTATGTGGAAGAAGATTCTTGGTTGCTTGTATCCTGATGGAGGTTGTTGTACTACCTATACTTATGGTGAGATTCTTGCAGACAAGACGATCTCATTTGTTTTCATTAAGATTAAGACGTCTGAATTTGAATATACATCTGAATATTAAGATGTTGCTATCATAGCTCTAGCTCTCATGATAGATAGAACAATATTTTCTTCTTATTTTAAAATTCAATTTACATATGTTGAACAAAAACTGTTAACCTAGTCTTAGTGATGAGGATATTGCTCTTCCCACAAAAAAGAATTATTATTGTTTTCCTCTAAGCAAACACCATAACAATATTGAGACACACCATCAATTTCTTGATTATTTGTCTCCATGTCCAAAAATTTCATGTCATCTTTAGGGGTGATATCCATCTCAATTTCCATCCAATTTAACTCAATATTATTGGATTTTGAATT